ATCCACGCACACCTCTGCCAATGTCGTAAACATGTGTTGATTTGACACATCTGATGATGGACCAGCCTGCAGCGGCGGCCGCACGAAGCGCTAGTGTTCCGAAGTAGCCGATACCGCCGACACCCCGCGCGCTAGAGAACTTTGAGACAGTTCTGAGATTCCCCGAGAGGCAGCGTCCGTCCGTCACGAAAGCAAGAATGTCCGTCCGTCACACCCGTTTCACCTATTTCCAGCCATTTTAACGCAAGACATGTTCTGACCAAAAATGTTCATCATCGCGAATAATTGATAGAGGGTAAAGCTCAAGTCAAAAAAACGAAGGGCAACGGCCCTAGATAAACAAAACGAACATTTTTGTGACGGACGGACACACCAATTCTAAAAACTTTCTCTGATCTTTTCTCCGTAACTACTGTGCGATACGAAAATTCTAAAGTGGTTTCCGGTTCCCAGTAATGTCCCGAACACGAACCAATTTTCATTTTTTCTGTAGCATGCATCAAACTCGTAATATTTACGGCTGAAGTAGACCCTGAATGGTTGGTCAAACTTCACCAGACTAAAGAGGCAATTTCGATTTGTTTTTTACAAGAGCTGGATTCATATAAAAATAAATGTGTGTTAGAATCGTTCAGGGCAACCATCGAGGATACCCAAAACATTTTTTTCGGTCAGTTTCGGTGAAAAAAAAAGTGCCATGACCAGGTCTCCGATTTTGTGGTTTTGCCCATGGGCAATAACGCATACGCCATATGTGTGCCGCATCGCATGCGCCGCCGTATGTGAAACGTGTACGTTTAGATATTTACGGATATTTAATTACAAGCGTGGCCGGTCTATAGGCCGTCACATCAGTACCACTGTAACGACGCGAGTCTATCGCTGCAGTGAGTCTGCTAATTCTAAAATTTTGTCGAGGCTCTCAGAGGCACGACGGTGCGCAGCTCATGGACGACAACTCAGGAGTACCACCCAAGCAAGGCGTCGTTGTCGGGACCTCCGAGAGTTAAAATTTAACAATTTACTTCTAGAGTATGATTGGCTTTCTAACAAATGCCTCACGTAGTCGGTGAGGACATATCTTAATGAAAACATACTGCGCAAAATTAAAAGTCAATGTCTTCAGAACATATTTTTATTTAAAAGAAAAACGTGCTAAGTTGGAGACGCGCTAAATGAAGCGCCATCTAGCGGCAATTCATTGGCAGTGCATGCGGAACACATACGGTACCCTATCATCTGTTCGTAATGTGTGTCCCCGTC